TATTCTACTGTCGCTCCATGTTTTCTAACAATTTGAAGGCCAAATTATCACAACTGCCCAGTCTTGTATGTGGATACTGATTTGCACGGACTTGCAGGGTTAGGTATTTAGGAAGTTCGATGTTGGAATTAAAAGCGGTACCTCACAAAGTTACAGAGAGATAACGGTGGATCGATAAGTGATGGGATTGAACACGTCATCAATATGCATTACTCTATCTGTAGAAACGCCTCCTTCAAAATTACTTTTAAAGTGAGAAAAAGCCTTGAAAACGCAGTATTTCTTTACATTATGTCTATCACCGAAGCTCTTGCCATGTACAATGAGAATTCTGAGTTTTGTACACAAAGGAAACTGTCTAACCTCTTAGGAAATTCTCTCTTTCTTTAAATGCTTTTCATTTCTCAGGCGATTTACTGTTAATTTATGCCTCTATACTCACTCTCACATCGCACTTCAGCTCCTAAATATTTTGTCATGTTAAACAGCTCCTTGTCTGAACTTAATCACCTATCATCTCTTGATCAGGCTTCACTCTTCTTAACAAACTTGATTAATTCAAAATGAGAATGACAGCTTAGACATTGATATATTCGTTGCCTTACAACAGGTTTGACAATATGTGGTTAACTATCCACTACTACATGGACACTCATAAGAGTAGATATTAATGTGCGATTAAACAAACTGCAGGATGAAATTAGTGAAAAGAGCCTTTTCAGTGAAGTTCTTGTTCCTTTTTAACTATCTTAAGATGGATGGATATTTCACAATTTGAAGCCAAAGTTTTCACATCTGAGTAGTTTTTTATCAGTCAAAGTATATTTTGGTACATTTACCTTCAGTGGAGTGTTTGCGTCAGACAGTGAAATCTGTTATCATAACTGGATGGTCTTCAACAGAGCTCCAGTTGATACAACAGTCAGGTAGTTGCAAAATAGATTAGGACTGAAATACGTTATCTTGTACCAAGCACTCTGTGACAAATTTGCTGAGAAATCACTACCCGATTTTAATGGGTTCGTCAACCATAATGAACACAGTCACCAGTAGATTTGAGTTGAAGGGGAATGCTGTGGCATCATGACGTGTATCCGAACCCGTCATGTTTAGTAAGAAGGTGGCAGAGGTGAAACTGTTATATATTGAAGACCATTGATCATGAAATGGAATACATAAGTCATTTACTAAGAGAATGTTTCATTTACCTATCGAAGTCAGTACGTTTTACTGACGAAATCCAGTTACAAGGAATCTGTTGGTGGAGTCTACTATCGTATTTTTGCTGTCATTTCATGTCAGGTGAATCACTATAAAAAGATCTTTGGCGAAATTCATAAATCAAGACTTTTAAAGTCTTGAGATCAGTATCTTTCTTAGTTGAAAAGCAAACATACTGTCCAGCTATATTGACGTACTCACGTCCGTTTAAAAGACAAATCAAAATGTAACTAAGTAAACCATTTTGAAATTTAAAATTAAGTTTAGGGATTTTCATTAATGGCCCTCATGAATTTGATGTTGGGTCTGAATATGTACTTCGAACATCTATTGTGAGGACACCGATTTCTCTAGTAACTTCATTTCTGCTTACGAAGTCTCCAGTACATATTAAACTTACTCTTTGGCTAGGATGCTTTACAACAATCCTTTTGTAATAAAATCTGTGAAAATGGATACATAACCCATGTAAAAGTGGTCCATCCTGATATATGTTCTATTTCGTAAATGGTCCATCTTTTTAGTTAGTAGAAAGTAGTTGTTAATTCTGTTTGACAAAAGCTTTTAATTCAAAACAGAGGTTAGTAAGGATTCTCTAGAGCTGGAAATCTCAAAGCCAGATAAAAGCTTTTGAACTTTGCCAAGATCTCACATAGAAACCAAAGCATTAAGTGTCTTAAGATTTGAGCATCGTGCTATTAAACGTATACTACCGGGGTTAAGCGTTTCAACTTTCATCTAAGTTTCGCTTACATCAATGAAAATACAAATCAGAAATCATGGTAAAATTTGGTGATCAGCTCCTACTTGGTGGTATGGTTATCTCTTTAGAAAATTAATTCGACGGCAATAATTTTGATCCTAAGCGACTTTAGTTTCGTTTTAAAGATAGTTTCATCACAAACTGACATCAATCGGAGAACCACTGGAAATCTAGGACTTCTCAGAAGTGCATACCAAAGACCCTGCCAAGGATCGAACTCAGGACCCACAGGTTTCATGAAGAACGCGTTAACTATTTAGCCACTGGGTAGGAATTGAATGGTCCAAAGTTTCCTAATTCTACCAACTCGTGATACACTGCAACTATCCATCAAGGTTTTTATTTGGCATTCACTTCACTTCCGATGGGGTGACCCCACAGTTCCTCATTAGAGCTTCGGGATGTTCATCTCGAAGCATGTCACTGATGAAAACCATAGAGTAATGTATTTTGACGTTATTGGGGTTCAGTGCTAACAGGTTTTCAGTGGCGGTCCGACTGATGTCAATCTGTGACGAAAACAGAAAAAATCCTCATTAACCTCAAACTACACCTTTAGTTTCGTAAGGTGATTTACCCAAACCAAAATGATCTGTGCAACTCAAATTTTTGACTTAAATTAGTCAAGTCAAACGGCTGGTAGGATCAACTTCAAATAAACTATACTACCGGCTGTTCTTTAGAACATCTTGATCAGATCAGAAGTGCTTTTGACTGATGAGATTCGTTTTTACTATGATACATCTAAGGGAATCTGTGATTCTTATCTAAAGTACTTATAGTTGTCTTAGGCATTTCATGTAACCCCCTTCTAAAAACAGTGTAAAACACTTGTGACTTACGGTTTCATTATTCTAGTCCAAGTCTTTTAATTTCAATGCTCAAGGGTAGTCTTTTTAAAATAAAAGGTTTTTGGTTAAAATTTAGTGCGAAAATTGAAGTTGCTTATTAAACTTGTATAATCTTTCTTGAATGTTTTTTTTCAGTAAAAGAAATATACACTCGTCTCATTATTCAGAAACAGACATACTGATTAAGATTCATGACCTTGACGAAACTGTCGTGACTGATGAGGTTGTGAACCCTCAGTGACTGAGACTGCTTAGACATGTGCTGTGCATCCTGAGCCACTGGTTACTTCAGCGTGCCATGTTAGGGGAAGTTGGATTAGGTTCGGAGAGGGTTCACCTCGGAGAGACAAAGACGTGGGACCACTCAACGAAGTCTCTTGATGTTGATCTGACCCAAGTGGTGAGATGTAGACTACCTGGCTGGGGTTCCCGAGATGAAATGAGGATTGACTTAAGATGAGATGACTGAAAAGCAGTCGCTTTGGCGCAAATATATTCATTCTTTTATGCCTTATAAAACTTGATCATTTACACTAACCTTTATCGTCGAACTGTTCACTCTGCCACACAAACTAGTCTACTTTGGTATCACTTTTTTCTAAACAAGCTGAGATGAATCGCTTTTAGTCCTCAAGATGAACACTTCATTTTGTAGTTCTCGAAAAATTCCAGTAGATAGAATGAATTTCAGAGGTGGGACAGTAGGTTGAGAGAGTTGTTGACCACCTAGGTAACAGATGCTTTCATCATGTACTACCTCTTCTATGAAAAACGTTCAATTCAAGTTTTTTATTGTATGGCTTTCGTGACTAAGGAATCTCCAATACCTTAAATAAGCTAGTAACTTCATTGGGATACTAAAATGCAGATCACTTGGAGAACTGATGGTTAAACAGTCGTTTAAGTAAACAGACTACCAACGATTCAACCTGTCTCAGAGATGTTAGTCAAGAATTCTGTCAATGGATGTGTCGCACGCAGTATGGTGTGAAAATGCCTTTAAAATGAGAATCTTTGCTAGTTTGCTGACGGACTGTGCTTTTCTAAAGTTTTTGAATGAATGAAGTTATTTCTTATCTTTACATACATTTCAGACCTGCACTGAAAGGAAGAACATGCTGAAGTTTTCATTCAAGCATTACTGAGGATTCAGAAACCGTGCAACACTATTTGCAGTAGGGTGGAAAAACATCGTCAAGAAAAAAAGGAACAACAATTTAGGAGTAAGACTTGGGCACTGTTCCTGAAGAAGGAGAGATTAGAACTATATATACTGTCTCACAGTTGTGGAGTTACATAATATGAATATGGACAACAAATTGTGTCCAAAACATTATCCAGTAAGTGATACTGTTTCACTTTGTAACATTTCTAACAAACTGACTAAAATGGAATGACAATTTAGCTTTAGAAAAAGGATGTAAAGCCTACTTCATCTCACTGGTATTAAGTCTTCAAAACCTTTACATCTAAACATCACCCTATCATTTCAATCAGTGAAAGTAAAGTAGCTTGGGAATGATTTACAGAAAATTAGGAAGTTATTGAAGCTAAGGTCATTTGTTCTTGTAAGGAGACTACTATGAAGCACGCTTGTTCTTGAATAAACTTCGCATCTAGTCCTGAACCAACATAACTAAGCAAATATCCTTCGATGTACATACCACTATCATATAATAACGAAAGACAAGGCATAAATAAATTTGAGTGCACTATTGAGTTCTGAAGTACCCTTTTATAGTTAGACTATATGATTACCATGTTTAGTAGAGCATGAATCTAATTCTGTCGAAAAAGATTACGGTGTAACCAATGGGCTGCTTGGAGAATTACCACAGAAAAAGTTACTAGGTTTGAATACTTCGAAGTAACCAATAGGAAATCGAGTACCAAAGTTCAGTACTTAACGGTTTTGCAAGTCTCTTGCAGTTCTTCTGTGTACTGTTTGGTATCAGAGTTAGAACTTCTTCAACTAAAAAAAATTTAAGAAGTCAAGTATTAGTGTTTTTAAAAAATAATGTTCAGCGGCGTTGATCTTCTGGGGAATACTGGTGCTGGATTAGCAAGATTCTACTAGGAGCCGGCATCACATCAATCAATAATATGATGTACCCATGTGAAAATCAAAGTGTACATAGAAATTCAATTTAAAGAAATCAACTTACAGATGGTTTAATCCTATTTTCTTTAATAGTTGGTTTCACTGGCTAAACAATAACAATATTAGCAATAGCAGTTAACACTCACAGTTCATATTTTTCTTTAAGGTCATCGCAACTACAGCATACTTTATTTCAAGGGCATGCACAAGTATAAAATGATTGGATGAAGCTATAAAAGTTTGATATCACATGAGTACAACTGTTAGCCAATGAACTAATAGCTGTATAAATTAGCCAATGGTTATGAAAGGTACTTAAAACTTGTTTAGAACTTTCTTGACGTGAATGCCATCTGTGGTACAATAAGTGGTTTGATGAGATCTATGCCAAGACAAGTACATAGAGTGCACTGACTTGTCAAGCTAAAGCATCTTCAAGACAAATACAGAATGTCACATGGTTAGTAGACAAGCGTTTTAATGAATAATAAGCATAAATTTAATGAGTGAAGTAACTATTTTCGGGATCAAATTTCCTATCGTCAAAATTCAAAAGATTTCGTGGTTCCAGTTTAGTATGGTAAATGTGCGCAATACTCTTAAAATAACAGACAAGATCATCGCCTAGTGACATTAAGATACAAGGAAATGCCTCATTAAATGGTAATCCCTGGACCTTACCAACCTGACAGTCGGTAGGTGAGCAGAACTAGTTTCGATTTGTCTTTGGTACACTTTTTCCCGGTTATTTTTAAAGATGATCGGGGTGAGTGAGTATGAACTTGGGATGTATTCAGTGCCAGATGTTAGGAGTCAGTTAATAGACAGCTCTGACCCTAGGTTTCGTGCTTTCCGGCACTCATTAGTTAGAACTAAGTACAGCACTGAAGAAACTAATGTTCTTTCAGCCATCTGAACCTACACCTTGTTCAACGCTTAAGTCAGAAACTCAACCACTAAGTTGTTCAGGCTATAACTGACCGCAATTTGGACCGGAATGTGTACATGAATTGGTCACCAGCGGGTAACCCTTGTGGCTATCTAGTCTCTAGTGCCTGCCACTCATCAAAGTCAATCAGTGAACTGTTTCAAAATAACATAATTGTCTATTTTACTATTTGTCCGTTAAAGATCAGAACAACTGAAATAAAAATGTTGCAGAAACTGGAATTGATTTCAGATTGGTACTCATCATGGACTGAGATAAACTGATGAACTGCTCGTATTCCTGGATATAATCTGTATGTTTTTCTGATTGGACAGAACACTTTGGTGCTTGCAGTGGTCAGTGTGGGGTCCAAGTCTTAGTGGGAAGAACATCGCTCATTTGGAGGCAGGCACATCTAGTTGAGGAGTCTCAAATAGAAAGAAAATTGTCTTCTTGATTCCTTTGCTATTCACAATCCGTCATAAATTTTGAACTAGTAGCTAATTGATACCAATTTAGATAGTTTACAGAAGTGTGGGCAAATTAACTTTTTGTACGCCATTCACCTGCTTTTCACAATTTTCAAATTCATCTTTTTACAACTAAGTAACAAGGACTTAGGATATTTGAATACATTCATGTTTAGCGCCAGTAGGATTCCTGTTGGATACTGCATCGAAATCTCGAAAACCTACCTTTCATTCACCTGCACTGTAATTTCATTCTAACTTCCCTGACTACTTATCACTTCGAGTGAAAGTTAACCTAATCCATCAATAACCATAGGGCAGTGGCAGTACTCTTATATTCGTCAAGCTTCATAAGAATAAGTGGTTTACATTTCTATTTCTCAATAAAGTTTTGAGTAGCGTAACGGAGTCTTATATAGATACAGCGAGAATAAGGGAATTTATAATTGAAAGAAGTGGAAGACAACATCTGAACCTTCTGATAAACAGTTGTTGACACTGAGTGATATAGCTTAGAATGCGAATGATTAATAACATCGGACGTCTACTACATTGAAGGCTGTGGCCTGAGCCTTTTACCCATTATGTGGCACAAAACATCTTACTACGAACGGCATGAGATTCAGAAGTGTCTGGAAAATTAGAGGACAAAAGATATCGTCAACCATAAACAAAATATGTTCAGTACTTCAATTTTCAATGTTATAATGTCGTGAACCTACGACGACTTTCTTTTTTGTATTGGAACCAAGGACAAAACTCTTACGAACATCGCCATCAGAGTTCATAATCTTTAGTGTGAGAAACGTTTTTCAATATCGTTTCTTCTTTGTCAATTGTAGTCGATGTGGTGTTATATCTCAACTTTACTATAGTCTTTAATCAAACCCAATTTACTATTTCAAGCAATCACTGATCGTGTATGTATGTTTGTAGTTAAAAGGACATCCCATATGATCTAAGTGCTACTAACGATCTAGAAGCATATTAATGCAAACTGTTGATGATCTCGATTAAAATAACTGTTGGTCATCTTCATCCAAGGATACTGAACTATTCTGTTTGATCCCTCCTGTGTTCTGCACTTTGTTAAGAAAAAAACCAAGATTTCAAAAACACCTTAAAAAGCGGAATACACCTATTTGATCATAGGAAAAATACAAGATGTGGTTTGAGCGAAGAAACACTTTTCTTTTCAATGAAGTCATTTACTAAGCTGTACATTCGTCAATATATGTTACAGTGAGTAGAATGTTCCAGAACTGTTTCCGGTCAGGGGGCAAAATCTATTGAATAACGAAAGGAAATTAATTAATACACATTTGTGTTTAGAGTGGGAAAACAGAGAGGGGATTATGATACTAAATGTAATTACGTAATACGGGATGAATGTATAGCAAAATAGGAAACTAAACGAAGGGTTATGAAGATAAAATTGAGATTATGTAGTACCGGATAAACCTATGACAGAGTATGAGAATAAACAGGGGACCATGAAAATAGGATTTTAATTAGGTAGTGCAGGTTGAATCCGTGACAGCGCAGAAAAGTGAGTAAAGTATATATGTGTAGTTACCTGATACAAAATGAATCTGTGGCAGACAGGGCTTTATGATGGCCGTGGCAAAGATAAAGGTTGGACATACCTTTTTTGCACGCATAACGCTGGTTTGAACTTCTGGATGGCTAGTGCTTCAGCTTTAGATAGATGCCTTGGTTTTACTCTCTTCGAGTGATTTGATCGAACCCTGCAGAGAATTTTGAATGAGCTCTCAAAAGGAGCTAAGTGGCCTTAGTTCACGGTGTTCTGTTATCGAACTGAAGATGCATTTCTGTTCTGCCTTTGCAAGTCAGGCTGGGTAGTGTTGGCGGACACGTTTTACAAGCGGACGCATGGTACAGCAGATGTACTCAAATCCACAAGAGCAAGTAAACTGGTATGCACACATTGATGTGTCAGATTGAACCTGTATTACGTAATTAAAATCCTATTTTCATGGTCCCCTGTTTATTCTCATACTCTGTCATAGGTTTATCCGGTACTACATAATCTCAATTTTATCTTCATAACCCTTCGTTTAGTTTCCTATTTTGCCATACATTCATCCCGTATTACGTAATTACATTTAGTATCATAATCCCCTCTCTGTTTTCCCACTCTAAACACAAATGTGTATTAATTAATTTCCTTTCGTTATTCAATGGATTTTGCCCCCTGACCGGAAACAGTTCTGGAACATTCTACTCACTGTAACATATATTGACGAATGTACAGCTTAGTAAATGACTTCATTGAAAAGAAAAGTGTTTCTTCGCTCAAACCACTTCTCGTTATTTCTAAAACTATCCTTTTAGTTAACGTGAATAGGGAGAAATGAACAAATTGGGCAGTGATGATATGAGGAAATCATGAAAAAGTTCACTTCAACACATTGATGCTAGGTGGGTTGGTGGGTGTTATGCTTGCACTGACCTGTGGTATTACGTTATATTGAGTTGCATTACAGACTAGTATCAGTGGTTATAAAATGCTGCTTGTGAAAAAGTTCAACTTTTATGAGGGCCTACTATATCTTCTTAATCTACGATTACTATGAAGTAAATTGTTGATTTCAATAAGCCAACATACTAGTGACTGAAAAGAAGTATTTACAACTCATTCGTTAGGTTGTCTTAATTTGGCCTCAACGAATGTACATACTTGTGGCAGTGCAATTCTGTGTAAGCTGAGTCTACAGAAGGTCCTGAATATTCATATGAAACCGTATTCTCTTCGCTTCTGAACTTGAAACACTTTTACACAAATGTGAATATGAACTGGGACAGTGGTGAACTCATTTTTTTTAAAATACAAAAATGAAAAGTCTTTTTCTATGTACTTTAGTGTCTAACGCCTAAGGTGAGAAGTTATCACATGATAAGGATCATCTGAATTTACTTAAGTGTTTTAGTACAAGGTTAGGGAAGTCTTTTATTGTTATTACTGAATGAATTATGCTGTCTACCTGACCACAGGAAGTTGTTTTAACCTTTTTGAAATCCAGTAGTTGTTGCTATTTTCAGCATTACTAAGTAAATAGGCTTATACTTGAAGTGACTAACTGGATGTTGAAGAAACGGCCTAATTTGTTTGTCTAATTGTAAATTTTGTTAATAACTTATTGTGAACAGGCACTTAACCTGGACACCACCACGATGGGTTTCGTCACCAAAGAAATCAGTGAAATACTGCATTAGATTAGTTTATTTGATATAGCATACATTGAAATGGCATTATTTAGTGGATGGTGTTTCCAGTGCAATTTGTTCGTCATAGCCATTTCAGTATCATCAAACATTTGAAAGGAAATAAGTGAAATGTAGACTGATTAGGTAACTAAATAGCAGAGACTATAAAATCCTAGTTAACACAATTAATAATAAAGCGGGATCAGCTGCCTTTACTAGAAATACCCGAACCAAAATGTCAATAAAATGACTGAATAAAAACATCCCACCAAGAAGAAGAAAACTAAAAATCAAGTACCACTGAATATTGATGAAACAAAACGGATGATTAACCTCTGAACTATAGTATTAAGCTCAAATGAAATGCAAGTACTTGAAAAGGGGCTAGATCGCAACGTATTTGTGAGTCAGTTGAAGTCCAAAGGCATCACCTTTAGCTTAGAAGTAGCAATCAGCTCAATATAAAAATGAAATTTTACTAAACGAGTCGGGGTGAAATATACTGTAGCACTAAAATAGCGGAGGAAGGCAGAACCAATTCTGACGAAAGTGAAAATACCAGCTCAAAAGAATCTAGGGAGTGACAAAAGCGAACTGGTTACCAAAGTTTACAAACGACAGTTCATCAGTAGCTGTGAACAAATCGAATACGGTCACGAAGGTCAGTGGACACATTCAAATGTCGGCGTGTGGGGCGGAGCGATTAATAAACCTCTGGACATTGTAAAAACCAAGATTTAGAAGTTTACAGTTGATATACCAAGCCCAAACAAGCCGTCTCTAGATGAGGAAATAGAGTTTAATTTAGTTCCTAACATTGATAATTCTAGTGCAGTGTATGGTACCACTGAAGTTCATAAACGAAATCATCCCGTTTGACCGACTGTTAACTGAAATCATCTGAGGAATAACTGTGAATACTGTTTCCTGCTGGAAACCACTCAAACTCCAGACTTTTCAACTAATATAGAATGAAGGATAGATTAGATGACATTCCAATAAAAGATGAGAAAATGATGAGTTTTGATGTGACAAGTTCATGTACTATTGCACCAATCAGTTTGGCTTTAGAAGCTGTCACGAATGAACTTCACAATAACCCTGAGTTCGTTCATAGAACCAGAATACAGAGTGAAGACACCTTAATAGTAGTTTAGTTACACATTACTCCATCTTCAGTTTTCAGATTTCATGATAAAAAAATATATGAACAAATGGAAGGTGGGATGACCAATAACACAAGTCGTAGCAGATACCTTTATGGACAGTTGGGAATGTATAACTTGAAACATTTAGCTTCACTCCGAAAGTGTGATGAATATATATGCATTACACGTTTACTATGTTGAGATTTAAACTTGTCCTCATCTTCTTGATGCATATTCTCATTGGGAGATGGGTTAAAATTTACTTTGAAGTTCGTTGAACAGACAGACTTAGCAAAATAAAACGAAGAGAAAATGATGGTTTTGATGTCAATGTCAATAGGAAATTATCACATTCCAGCAGATGTCTAGACGTCGAGTCACATCATCCCCTTATTAGTATAGGCAGGTTTGATTAAAGGTTTAATTAATCAAGTTATCAGTTTGACAAGTAACTCAAAGAGGTTTAAAATAAGGAAATGGAACTTTATTTACTCAGTAACTGTTCTCCCAAATTCATTGAGGAATCCGTAAGGATTCACACGAATAAAGGCAATAATATGAGTAGTGATTATAATATGACTAAGAAGGAATTCGGGGTATCTTACCTATTGCCGTATACGGAAAGAACATCTTAAACCTTAAACAAGCTTCTCAAAAAGAACGGGATAGAAGTGACATTCTAACCTACAAAATTATACGGAAACTTCATCGATTCGATGATTCTATCGACTCATTTGGTCAAAGTAGTTTAATTTACCAATCGCCATCAGATAACTGTGACGCTGAGGTCATTCTGATTATTAGCGGATGAGAATTCAGTTAATGAATGACAGACCCCATCAAGGTAGGTACTCTAGAAGGAAATCCAGCTACTGTTATTCATGAAGTAGCGCACGACAATACAGTAGTTCGGAACTTAGTAACAGTTGTAAAGATTAATGAAATAAAATGGTAAAAGTTGTTTACTTCTGTCTGTTGAGTCAACACCTAAGCCTAGTGACAAAAATGACTCAGCATTAATCTCAGATATACGGAAAACTCTACTACCAGTAAAATCAAAGGAGTAGTAGTACTGGGACCATAAAAGTCAAGGAAGTCGCTTGATTATCCTTCATAGGAATATCAGTGGTAAATTGTGCTACACTGAATAAGGTAATCTGATATCGAATTCAACTGTACCTTTAGTACGAAAAATTCATATTTATGGTCTCAACTGCATTCGAAACACAGTTTAGTTACCGGTAAGATTTTATTCATCGGCTTCAACACTAAAAGGCGTTCACCTAACAGTTAGATAATCTAAGTCAACCTCAAGACAATTTTATCGGAAATCTCAAGTGAACAGATACTATGTGTTCATCCTTTATTCGGATTTTAGGTAGATTTGAAATATAATTAAACATAAGTATCGGAATTTTTTCTATGATTTTTCTGTTTATTGGAGATCGATAATAATTTGTACTGAGAAAACTTCAAATGAATTTATATTGCAGTAAATGGAATAAATATTAGTGAAATCTAAGCGGCAACTGATTATCTGGACGCAGAAAATGATCAACTCACATATAAGTAATTGATTATAATGATTTGAAGCAGATGAAACTGAACAAACAGTTTATTTATTGAAGGTGAAGTGGAAATCTAAGTCTCTGCAAGATTCAAACCAGCCACCTCCGAGTTGCCAGCCCAGAGCTGTTCAATAAACGGTAACAAATCACGAATTCACATGACAGTCGGACGAAACTCTTGATGACTGAAGGGAAATTAAAATCTGGTTAGGAAGTAGCTGGTAGAGCATCCGATCGGCTACCTGGAGGTACTTGTTTGAATCCTGTCGGGACCCAGACTTTTATTTCACTTGAAATTATTAATCAGTATCAATAATACAAGTCTTCCAATCCACGGCAATCTCAGATAAGGTTATGTTTTTCAGGCTTATCATAAAGCAGTCGACCAGCTTCACACCTACAAAAGATGTGTAGGTGATAACTTTATTATTTGTGACGACAATACGAATCTCGGAAACCTGCTTCAAACTTTAAATAATGCTCATCCGTTTGTGAACCTCGGGTAGTCAAACTGATTTTTATTATCCTTGTTTCTGTTTAAAATGTGACAAGTTTCATAGGATCTCAGTGGACAAGACGTACTTACGACAGAACTTTTATAACTAAGTGTATTTAGATTGCAAGATTTCGTAATGAATACATCTGTACGATTTACCTGACACCTTTGCTTCAGAAATAGGTGAAAGTTGACTATGTGACCAATACTGCCGACTAGCATTAGTAGTTAAAAAACACTATAATTCAGTCACCAAAGCTTTCTATTCAAATCAACTTGATCTGAACAGCCAATAATCATCTCGCTAATCAGTACATAGCTTATCAACGGTGTAGCTGGATTCACCTCGAAAGGAAAAATTACTTATCTCACCTCAAACTAGTAATTTTTTGAATCAGAACAGGCTTTTGAACCATTAAAACGCAGGAAAAGATTTCATCATGGTTTCTTCGTTGTGGCAGGTAAGCGTTGTTAACCAACATTATAGTGAAACGCTCAGGATAGCTATTTTCAGCACTGTCCTAAACAATAACATTTATTGAACATTTAAAAATTTAATTGTTCAGTTAGGCAGAATCGTTACTGATACTGGGATTTAAATCTGGCTTTTTCAAACTTTAAAGATTGTACACTAGCTTTCAAGATCATCTTAAGATAGATTAATGACTTATGTTCTCAAAATCAATTAACTGGTAACATGATACTCTGCTTAGTCTCAACTCAGTTTCACCACAGAGGTATCAGCTGACTTTAGGAGCTATAACTTTTAACTAGAAAATCTGATTTGCATGAAACAGATGCTTAGTACATGTTGGCTTTAATTGGTTGTTCATTTTATATTGATGCCTAAAGAAGAATATCTTCGAGTTGTTTCCAGGATTTGCCAGTCCCATAGATAAAAGTTGAGATAGCAGCTTATTTGTCGGTTTCATACAATGAAGTTCCCCAATGACTTCGGATGACGTAATGAGAATATCATTAGCAGAAAAAAAGACGATATCATTCCATATCATGGGATTTTATCAGCTGCATACAACCCGAATAAATAAGTGAGTAATCGAAGTAACAGATATTAACGTACCTTCCACGGAGCTTCTTAAAATACCAGTTAATCTTACGTAGATCAACCAGAAAAAAGGTACAGTTCAGAATGTAAAGCAGGTTTACGCAATAACTTCAATCAAACTAAATGCGTGATACGTGAAGTGAGGTGAGGAACGTTATACTCATATTGGTGACTAGCAGTGGAATCCAGAAAGCGCGTTTCGTCCTATTCGGAACTTATCAGTCAGTGATTTAGTTTTCACTGAGATTCCAACCCAGTGCTTATCGCTTCAGACGCCAAAGCGCTATCCACTATGCTACTTGAGCACGGAAGCCACTTACAAGTAGTAAACGATGAGGTGAAGAATATTCATGAATGAATAACTATGATTACGAAGCATAACTTTTGAAAATGACTTGTCGAAAAGAAAATTTTCTCCGCTGAATTGTCTTTTATTAGCTTTCATTATCTAATAGGACTAATTTCGATTGCTGAGACGATAGTTGTTATGAATTTGCATGGGGATAAGCATAAAATGAAGGTAGTTAAATTTCTTAAGAAAAGTAAGAGGGTGAAAGGTCACTATTTGCTAAGTAGTGACTCAGATTGAACACCTCGGATAGTGACAGATTCAGTAATTCCAGGTAAGAGCGGAGTCTTTTATACGTTAGCCGCTTTGAAACACTTCACTGCGCCTACTCGGCGTTTGTATCAAACAAGTGATGAGTTAGTCCCTATATATTCATATTGACTGTCGCTTCACTATTACTGAAATTTTGCAATTATGATAATTTTCCTGAAGAACCTTGAAGCAAACTTTCGTGAGAAACGTTGGAATTGTTTTATTTCAAGCACACTGTCTTACAAATATAAACTATATCTACTATCACTTTTTTACTGTAACTGCAATACTTGAGATAGTGTTCCGTCAAATCTTGATCATATTTCATATTACTTACTTACTGTCCTCAGGTTGGTATTCATCACGAACTGATATCAACTGGAGAAATAATGGAAACCTGGGAGGAGCGGACAGCTAATTCATCCTAGCACTGAGCTCCTTAGAAGTACGCACTAGTGACCCCACCAGGGACCGGACCGAAGACATTCAGGTTCTGCGACCAGTTCGTTTGATAATATTTTCACATGATTGCGTAACCACCTCTACTTATTTCCTATCCTACTCCACTTATTCGTGAACATCCCTTACTTCAACTTATATAATGTGTATCAATTAATTGCCTAAACTTCGTTTTATTCTAAACTAACGTTTTTTGGCTGACTTTCAAAATATTAACCAGTATTTTAAGACGCTCTATGCAGGGTGTGTCAATATACTTCTACAGTGATTATTTACTGATTTATTCAGCTTGTTGGTAGCTGATAAAGGCTCACTGACGTAGAATGGCCTCACCTGATTCTGAAAACGATATTCTCGTTGTGTTATTTAGGTTACCTAAACTGATAACGGTTTGCAGACATATCTAGTGTATATATATTGGACACGATGATTATCAGGTGTAAGTAACCTGAATGGTATTAGGTCCAGAACTAATGTAAAGCTATCAGCTGGTCACTATGCTGACAGTTTATCAATAAATCACAAATGCCAGATTACGGACATGCGTTCACTGTGTCTGCTTATGCAATACTGATGTCTAGTAGCCAGTCCATTATCTATCCAATTTTAGTTTATTTAAGTGTATATCGTATTTAGCTTGATTAAAATTGTTATGTAAACTTACATTCAACACATCATGAACAATGTATAAATTCTCATCATGCATACTCCATGGTTGATTACATGCTTTCATAATGTCATCTAGCGAATACATTGAATGATCAATGGTAGCAACACTGAATACAGCCCCAAGATAATTCCACATGACTATACATCTTTAGCTATATATATAGCCATTTTTTAAATAATAAGCATAAAAGTGGATTAGGTTAATTTACTGTTATACATCTTTGTGTCTGTGTAGTTGTGTATATTAAAACAGATCCTTGCCAACTGTTAGGCAGATGGCGCTAATATCAAAGGATACAGACAGCTTTGAATGCATGTATTTTTTCATTGGTTCTTGAATAGATGGTGCAGAAAAAAGACATTGAGGAACACCTAGAAACAGCTAATGGAAATTATCTATAAAGTAGAATCAACACTGAATCAGTGGATTGGACAATCTAAAACTTTATGTTAGAGTTGTATACTGTAGAAGAACAATTTAGGGCAACTGAAGAGGATTATTGATTTAGGACTGTACAACTTGGCGTTGATAAATATTCAGTGATAGGTTAGTGTCTCCGATTCGACTTTTATGAAAGCATAATTGCCAGTGGAATGGTTAAGTGGTAGTACCCCTGAGACTGACGTTGAATCCTATGAGTGACCTTAAAGGTCACCCTAGATAAATAGCTAATTGCGTTTCTTTGTTTTACGCAAAACTACCTTCCCAGACAAAATATTGAAACTTGATTGGTTCTTACGAAGGCCTAACGAGTCACTCAAAAGTAGTGATTCACATTATCTTAAGAAATAAAATATTTAACGTATTTAGAATAAAGGCTTCAGAGAAAAGACAGCTGATGGTTCTAATGTATTCTGTTGAATATTTAGATGTAGACATGAAACGAGAGTATCAGCATTTATAGAATTAAGTAAGGATTAACTATGCGAAGACTTTAATTCACAGAAGTTTTCTAACTAAAGCGCTGAGGTTGAGAAATTGACATCTTAGTAGACAACTCATTGAATTTATTTCTCCGTTGAAGGCTAATCAAACAATTTGTCTTGCTATCTGTTAACCCAACACTTTGCTACTATGGGTAAAGTAAGTCAGCATATGTTGCTTATTGATACTTACGATTTCCCGTAGCCTTACCGGGTCGAATTGTTGGACTTATGTTGGCAGATGGGTTCGTATGCTGTTGTTTCGATACTGCCTGACCATACTTTATGTTGTTTTCTACTTGGGGATGTCTAACAGTAGAATTCAGGACGTGCATTCTCTCACATTTGAGGATTCATCAACTGTACGTGATGTTCTACCTGGGGCTCGAACCCAGCACATATCGCTTCGAACTCCAGAACGTTATTCACTAAGCCCCTGGCGCAAGAGAGTCGCCACTTATGGGACAGGTACCAGTTGTGGTTTGTTGATACTTTTAATTTCCATTTGTTATTTAGGGTCGAATTTCCCTAAGTCTATTGGCAGACAGGCACCATGTGTTCTGTATGCATGCAACATACCAGTTAATAAAGTTTCATAGCTTTGTTAGCTGCTTTAGGGCTCGTATCATAACAGTACTCACAAGGCAGTTCTGTGAAACGCTAACAATGCTTGATTTAAAATCAGAATCTAGGAATGAGCAGTCAATTCAAATTTTTTGAAAGATGCACCTATCTCAGCCGAGTCAGTGTGGGTTCACCACTAATAGGCTTGACTCTGAGTGAGTGAAAGGGCAGTTCGGCGTTTGGATCATTCATATTTGGCTAGCAAACACTGCTGATCGGATTGGGTGGTTTGTTATTACTCATTCCAGTCTGTAGTACATTTCGTACAGCTTTCATGCAAGTAATCTTCACACTGATTGTAATGTAGAGCAGACGACATACGATCTAAATATTTTGGTTTCTATAAGAAACCATGGTGAGATTGTACACCATGGGCTATGTATTTTGAAGATACATGACTTGGTTTTCAAATCCTACTACATTAATTTCAAAAGAGGAGAGGGAATAAAAACTATGTAAACTATGTCTTAAAGTTGTAGAGTTACTGGGTGTGAATATGGACACTGAATCATGTCTGAAACATTGTCCACTAAATAATACTATTTCATTGTGTGGCGCGTCGAATAAACAGACTGAAATGGAACTACAATCTACCACACTCCCCAATTTTTATTCTTAAAGTTATATGGATTCGGAATCAAATACTAGTTGAAGAAGGCTTTATTTCACTAAGAAAGAAGTTGAGTGTTCTTTCGCTTTATTGTGCAAATTACCGTTTATTTTTTATATACTATGTTTAAGAAGAAATTCTTCTCAAATCAACTGAGAAAGAGATAATTATCATGGAGCTTGCTAATGCATGCTTTATGTTATTTATGGATAGCTTTCTTTAAGGCTTTCTAAAAACAAATTTGTCAGTATGAAAGTTTCTCTCCTTAAAGTACAGTTCGCACGAGATGTCACATGTGTAATCTTATGGACTGATCACACAAACAATATTTAAAAACACCGAAACTGTATGTATAATCGTGTCCAAGTTTATACTAAACTTGGTAACATGACACTGGATTGTATAGGATAGATTTTAAAAACTGTTCAGTTCCTGATAAACCTGATTCTGCAAAGTAATTCAGGAATGTATCATATGTTCTACCATGTGGTCAGTTAAGATTCGAGTTGGCTTATTGTTTACAATTGTGTAGCGAAAGGGTAGAGCAAGATGCTTAGTTTTTGTTTGTAAAGGCACTGCGGACTTTAAACACATATAAAGCATTTGGCGCGAATTTTATACGATACGACTGCGTGCAATATTACATTAAAGATGATATATAACCTGTGTTCATTAGTAATGCAAAGCAAAATACCTCGAAAAATAATATTTCATTTAAAAATCATTTTTTTAATCATGATGTGAAATAAACCACTTTGGTTTGGAGCATTTTACCTTTTTTCATTGTCTATCAAACTCTCATTTAATAGTTCTACTAGTAATCTCAGGCAAAATGTGCAATATGAGCATAAAATATAGATTTTAGAAAGCTTATCTGTTCAAAATATTCAGAAATTTTGTAGTATAGTGGTATGTAACAGCTTTTAAACAAAGTAATCAGGTTCATGAATCTGGTTCGTGAAGAGAAGTTAAGGCATATAAGCTGAGAACAATTTCTTTTTTAACGATTTCAATTTGTGAGGCTGTACACTACCGTATTTACATCTGTATAAGACATGTAACAGTCGATTACTGAACAGTAGGTTTGTGTTGTGTCATTACTGTAGTATTCATTTCGGTTTCAAAAGATGGTAAAAAGTATAAGGAAAATATGACAAGGTGAACTTCGCTTACATATGTGACGCAGTATAGTCAGGAGTGCACTCCGTAACTTCAGGTTATTAATAGGATTAAGACTTGAACATACTTCTTCTGCACACAGGAATCCGACTTTGAATTGATGTGTGAGCAGTATCATTGCTGTGTACACATTGAGAAATCATGCTTCTACTGAAATATTTACTTGGAATATGCAGATAATCTCCAAGGTAGACTGTGGTGGAACTACATGGCGTGAACTGACTAGGTGTCAAACCACTAATTGATTTTCATCCTCCTCTAGACAGTCGTGCAGAATAATGTCCCAAGATACGTTTTTAAATTGTTCACCTTGTGTTGTCAACAAAACCGGCTGCATAGGAACTTCTAATCACACGTTGAAGTGGACCAAAGAGATACCTTGTTCTTAGAAGGCTCACAAGAACTATTTGTTGACTGGAGATGATATTTAACTTAGCAGAATATATATATATATATATATATATATATATATATAAAACTGTACAGCATTGGAAAGTTACATCATCAGAAGGGAAAATTTTCTTATATGATTTGTCTCATCTCTTTATGGGAATCTTATTTTTTTTCAAAATACCATGGTAACGATTAAAGGAACTTCAAACTCACTGAGATTTGTCCAAATATAAACTACATTTAGTGATATTGCTTGTATTATACCGTCTTTGAATGGACCGGATAGACCGGTCTCTATTGGCATCCAACACGTCCAACTGACGAGTCCCAACTAGGACAAAAGGCGCGTCCTGGATTCCACTGCTAGCTACTATCCATCATTACTATCTAAATCATATTTGCTGTCAACTTTTCACTCGGTGTTCAATATTTGTGAAACTATCCGGTCAAGTCTTGATCAGGATTTATACAAATTTAAGATATTTTTTAGTGATGGTAGCTGTCAGACACTTTAACTGTTATTCACAAGCAAATTTATTCGTTTTCACATAACACATAGTTTATGTGTGTTTGAGAGGTTTGCTTAGCCTCAATGGAGACGTTATGACATTAAAAATTGGTGTAAATGGTATGATTCAGTGACTGTGTTAAATAAACTAGCATCAATTTCCTCTATTCATTTTATGGCTATTATCTTTGGTCAGATTGGCTTTCATGTGGTTTGAATCAAGTAATTATGCGAATGATGTATCTGAATGTACAACAACGGCAATAGTATAACCTTTCAAGGATTGTGAATGAATAATGACCATCAGAATCCACAACGATCGATACACTGTTTTCCGAAGAATGCTGGCAAACATAAACCTAAATTTAGGAATTTCTATTGATTCTATTCAACCAATATGATGAAACACAGCACACTTTAATGCAAAGTTAGTCAAAGTCTCTGCCGAAGATATTAAAAATTTAACGTTTCTAATTCTGATTGGGAATATGGACTAGAGAACGTGACAAATATCCACTGATAAATCAAGAGTGGATGTATTTATTCTTTTTAGCTTTGTTACCGACTAATGTTATCGAAATAATGCCGTCCTTCTGTTACCTTCATTATACTGTTCTCACTATCCAGCAAATTACAATCCAGTTGGAACATTTCGGTTCCCTCAGAAAACCAATGAAGAATCTGAAATGAAGCTCTACGATTCTCACCAGTGGCCAAAAGTCTTGTAAACTTTCTTTGAAGCATGACTATGTTTTGTAAATCGTTTTTAATATAAGTTCTCAGACAAAAAGAAAGTGGACTAGAATGAATTTCGCACATTTGCAAATACTACTTTAAAAAATGTTTGCATTCCTATGGTGGTGCGAAAACAGGAAAGAATGCAGTGAGCATATTTGAA